CGAAAAAACCGAAATAAAAAAACGAAAAATATAAAATATATATATATAAATATATATACGAAAAAAGAAATTTATTCGTTATTTTAAAACGGAATAAATAAAAGTTTATATTAAAGTAAATTAAATAAAAACCGGTTAAAACGTAAAACCGTAAAAAAATAATATTAATAAAAAAAATAATATTAATATTAATATTATATATATAAATATAATTAAAAAAAAAATGAAATAATAATTTAAAATAATATTATAAAGTTAATATTAATTAAAAACGAAGTAAAAAAAAAGTTATTACTTTTATACGAACGGTAAAAAAAATATTATATTATTATAAAAATAATAAATAAAAATAAAATTATTAATTAATAAATTTAAATTTAATAATTAATAATATTAATTAAGGAAAATAAAAAATTTTTTTTCTTTAAATTATGAAATATATATACACGTTAAATTATTACATGTTAAGTTTTTTTAAATTAAAAAGCTTAAAACTTTTTTATAACGAAAATATATTTTATAAAATTAAAAAAAAAACATTTTAATAAACGAAATTTATTAATACGATTAATATTTTATTTATTATAAAAAAATTATATAAATTAAATGTATTTTATAAAATAAAATTATAAACGATTAACGAAAAATTAAATTAATATAATTATTTTAAAAGTTTTAAAAAAATAAAACTTAAAATTAAACGTTAATAAATTTACGAAATTATTAAAAAAAATAAAACTTCGAAAAAATTAAACTTTTAATTTAAAATAAAAATATTAAATATAAAATTAAATACGTATTTAACGATTTTTAAAAACTTATTAAATAAAATTTTCGATAAAAGTTTTTTATTTTTATTTTATAAAATAATAAAAAATAAATTAATTATAATAATAAATATTTTAATTAATACGAGAATAAATATATATTTTTTAATAAAATTCTTTTTATAATTAAAATAATAAAATATTTAAACGCGGAAAAAATTTCCAAATTTAAGTTTATAATAATAATTAAATTTAACGAAAAATATATATAATTTATAAACGTTATAATCCGCGTATATTTTCGCATATAAAAAAAAATAAAAAACGTTATATTATTAATAATTAATATAAAATACGATTTAATTATTAATAAAAGTTTTTCGAATATTATAATTTATTAATAAATTATAAAAAAAAGAAATTTAATTTTTTATAAAATTAAAAATTTATTACATAAAATAATAAAATTTTAATAAACGAAATAAAAAACTTATTTTAATATTTAAATTATTAAAAAAACGTATCTCGAAAAATAAAACTTATAAAAAAAAAATAAATAAAAAAAATTAATCGAAAAGTTTTTTAATAAAAAAATCCACTTATTTTTAAACTTAAAAATTTTTAATTTTTTTTAAAAAATAAAAATATTATATTTTTAATTTATTTAAATTTATTCGAACTTTTTTATATAATATATAAAGAAAATATTAAAAATTAAATACGGGATAAAATAAAAAAACTTAAAAAAATATATAAATAAAAACGAAAAATATATTAAAATAATTTACCCGTTAAAAATAATAAACCGAAAATTTTAACGTTAATTTTTCGATTTTTACGTTAAAATATATACCGTAATAATAATTAAAAAATAAAAATACGTAAAATATATATTACGTTAAATAAAAATAAATATAAAAAATTAACGTTAATCGATCGTATTTTTCGAAAAATATTAAAACTAAATAATAAAAAAAAAATCGATAATTAAAATTTATATATTTTAAAAAAAAATTATATAAATTAATATTAATATTATTAATTAAATATTAAACTTTTAAACGTAATAAAATTTTATCGAATATTATTAAATAAAAATAATTTAAAATGTAAATAAATAAATTTTAACGTTTTTAATAAAATAATTATCGAAAAATACGCCGAAAATTAATTATTAAATAATAATAAAAAATTATAATAATTAATATTAAAAATAATTTTTAAAAATTTTTATAAATATTTAAATATTTTTAATAAAATAATATTAAATAAATTATTTTTTTATCGTTTAAAAATAAATTATTATATAAAATTAATTTTAAATTTAAATTATTTAAAATATAATTTATTATATAAAATATTATTAAAAAAAATTAAAACGTATAAAAAATATATTATAAAAAATTTATAAAAAAAATTTATAAAATTATTATTAATTTTATAAACGGTTTCGATTTTATTTTTATAAAAAATAAATAAAAAATTATAATTTTATATAAATTATCGAAAATTAAAATTTTTAATTATAAAAAATTACTATTTTTTTATATTAAAAAAACGTTAATAAAAATAATTTAAAAAAAATGTTTTTTAAAATTAATATAAAATAAACGTTTTATAAAATTTAATTAATAAAAAACGTTAAAAATTTTATTACGTTTAAAATAAAATACGAATTATATTATTATAAAATGATTTTTTTTAAACTTATTAATAAATTATTTATTTTTTAACGTTATATAAATTATATATTTCGAAAATATATAAACGAATTTTATATAACGTATTTTAATAATATTTTAATTTTTTTTAAAAATATAAAAAATATAAAAAATATATAATTAAAATTTTATATAAATTTTAAAAAATTAAATTATAAATTAACGTTATAAAATATTAATTTTCGCGCATTTTTCGTATAATACGAAAATAAAAATCGAAATAAACGTTTTTAATAATATAATTATAAAAATTTTATTAAAATAAAATTTATGTCATGGCTCAGCCATGAGTGGCTTGACAAGAAGTGGCTGAACACACTTCTTAAGCTAGGACCACATGTACGAAGGCGGTGAGGAGGATAAGCCGAACTAGCCTAACTTAGGTTAACGCTAGATTCTGCCGATGCAAGGGTCATAAAACCCCACTTGCATCGCTACTATAGATCTTTTCTTTTTCTTTTCTTCCTTAGCTTAATTAATACATGCAACCCCGATTAATAGTTTAACCCCCGTGTTAAACATTAATTTGGTTTCATCCTTTGTAATAATTTATTTAAAAAACTTTAACATTTTATAACGTTTTATTTAAAATTTTTATAAAAAACGAAATTAAATTATAAAATTTATAATAAAAAAATATTAATAATTATTAAAACATTATTATATTAATAATTAAAATTAATAAATTTATAATATATTTAATTATTTTTTATCGTAATAAATTATAAAATTTTAAAATATTTTATTATAAAAAAATTTTAAACTTATAATAAATAAATTAAATAAATTTAATTTTTTAATATAATTTTTTTATTATATATCGTTTTAAAATTAATAATATAATATTAAATATATTATTAAAATTATAAAAAAAAAATCCGCATTTAAAAATAAAAACGAAATAAATAATATATAATAATATTATTTAAATTAACGATAATAAATAATAATTTAATTAAACTTTTTATAAATAAAAATTATTTTAATTATATAAAATTATTTATTTTAAATAAATACGATATATTCGAATTTTTCGAAGTAACGTTTATAAATTATATTTTAAAAATAAACGGCGAATTAAATAAATTATAAAATTATTAAAAAAAAGTTAAATTATTCGAAAAAAACACTTAAAAATATTTAATAATTTAATAATATAAAAAAAACGATTTATTATTTTAAATTAAAATAATTTCCGTATTTAAATTATTAAAAAAATATATAACCGTTTAAAAACTATATATTTAAAAAAAAAAAATCTCGCCGTTTTATTACCGATAAATATTAATAACCGGGTTTTTATATTTAAATAAATACATTTATCGTAAATTATTTTTATCGTTTAATTAAAATATTAAAAAATAAAATATCGAAATTATTATTTTTTTTATTAATTTTAAAAATAAAATAAAAACATTTCGTAATAAATTTTAAATCGTTAAATATAATTAAAGTTAAAAATAATAATATTTTTATTATTATATATTATTTAACGAAAATATTATAATACGTTTTTTATAAATAAAAATTAAATTTTAAATTAAATAATAAAGTTTTTATTATCGTAAAATTAAAAACGAAAATTAATTAATTTAATAATAAATTTAATTTTTAATAATATCGTTATTATACGAAATTATTACGAAATATTCGAAACGTTTTAATATATATAAATTTAAATTTTTTTATAAATAAAACGATTAACGTTAATTTAACGTTAATTATTTACAAAAAAATCTTAATAATTTTTTATTAAAATAAAAATTAATAAACTCGTTAAAAAAATAATAATAAATTTTAAATTAAAAAAAAATAAAATAAAAAATAAGAAAAAATTTCGTATTATAAATTTATTACGATAAATTAAAATATTAAATTAAATAAATAAATTAAAATTTAAATTTAATTTAATATTTAATATTAAACTTTAAAAACGTAATTTATAAATTAATAAAATTTTATTAAATAAATATTAATTTTATAAATTTTTTAATTTAATTTATTAATTAAAAAATTTTTTTTAAATTAAAATTTTTTTTAAAAAATTATTTAAACGATAATTTTTCGATATATTTAATAAAATTAAAATAAAAACACCGAAATAAATAAAATTTATTAATAAAAATTCGAAAATTTAAATTAAATTTTTTCGAACGTAAAAATTATTATAATTTAATTATAAATAATTTAATAAAAAATAATTAAATATATTTTTTAAATTAAAATTATATATACGAAAATAATAAAAAAAATAAAATAAATTAATTTAATTTAAATTAATATTAAATTTTATTAAAATAAAAATTATAAAATTTCATTTATATTATTATTATAAATTTTTTTTAACTTAATTAATATATATAATTTTAATTAATAATTTAATTTCCGTATTAAATATTAATTTAATTTTATTTTTTATAATAATTATTTTAAATTTAAAATATTAATATAAATTTTTTTTAAAAAATAATAATTTTTTTAAAAAATTTAATATATTTTATTATTAATTTTTTTAAAGTTTATTTTTTTATTATAATAAATAATTAATTTTAATATGAAAAGCCGAAAACGCTTACATGCATAACAGTTAATGGCTATAAACTTTATGTAAAAAAAGGAAAAAATCTAAAAAACAAGAGTTACACGGTCGGAAAAGACGTCATTGCCTAAGTCTCGAAGCGTTCTTAGTGTTCGGCCTCAATGTTAATCCAGGCTCCATCCCATAACGCGTTTCTATTGATTTGATTGTTCCCCCCTCATTACAAACCGAGTTCATGCTATGGCAAGCCTCGCGCAAAGCTCACATTATCACAGGTGTCATCAGAATTATGCAGCGAGGCCGCCGTCGACCATCAAGATCTGGCCGGTGATGTAGGATGCCTTCGACGAAGCCAGGAATGCGACTGCCTCGGCTATTTCGGCAGCCTCGCCCCAGCGCTTCAGCGGTGTCCCCTCGGTGGCGGCCTCCAACAGCGCTCGCGTCGGCGTTTCCATCATTGGCAATACCATACCGGCGTTGATAACGCCGGGTCCCACGGCATTGGCGCGGATTCCGTTAACAGCCTCCTCAGTGGCGAGCTGGCGCACCATCATTGCCACGGCGGCCTTTGGCGTGGCCGAGAGCGCATCACACGGCACGGTGCGGCTCACTGCGCTGGTGACCAGGGCCACGAACGAGCCGCCCTTGCCCTCACGCAGTACCGGCACGCCGACTTGGGCGATGTTGTAGAAGCCGTAGATGTCGGTCTCGATGACGCCGCGGAAGGATTCCTCTTTGAATGCCGCCAGCGGACCCGTGTCAAACACGAGGCCTCCGGCGGATACTACCGTGTGCACCCGCTTGTACGTTTCCACGGCGTGCTTGAAGACAGCCTCGACAGCCTTGCGATCGGTGACATCGCAGGCAACCGCGCTCGCCTGGCGCCCGAGCTTGCGCAGCTCCTCTACCAGGGACTCTGCCTCGGCGGGGCGCGACCGGTAGGTGACGACAATGTTGGAACCGCGCTCCGCCATTAGGCCGGCGCTTGCGCGGCCGAGGCCGCCCGAGCCGCCGAAGACCACGGCGCAGCCTTCGGAAAATTCAGGTGTGGTGACGCCAAAAGCCATTGTTGTTTCTCCTCGCTGTTTTTAATTTTTTTATCTTTTAGTCGCGCGGCGGTGGATTGCTACGCAGATTGGGTGATTGTTGATCGGTGTAAGTATTGGTTTGAAGAACGAAATGCTCTTCGTATTCTCCTATATATGTAAATAAAACGGTGTGGACCTACGCAGCTGACGATGACTCCGGTCCCGTAAAATCATCCTAAACCGATAGCTATGCTTACATAGTAGTATATCTGCCACGTGGCAAGCGACCCGAGGCGCATACAAAACTATTCCTCTTAAAAAGGGGAGGGTAATTATTTACTCTGTAGCTACCCCGAAGCCCGGTTAATAACCCGTGCCAGGATTCAAGCTACATAGTACAATAACCTCTTCAGGTGGCAGTTTTCTTCAGCCAAGGATTAGGTGGGATGGTACATCGAAGCATTGACAACAGCATACGAGCTCTCATAAAAGTTCGATTCTAATTGGTCACGAGCACCCACTTGTTATGTGAAATTTTTATTTGTGGTCTCTATCCCTGGCTGAAGAAAACTGCCACTTGAAGAGATATGTAGAATATCCATTCTTCGACCCACACATCAATAATCATTCGATATGATATGATACCAATACGGACTGAGTATCAGACGAAGTTAACCTGGGTCTGCTGCGCCGTTGCTAGATGGCACGGACCCGTCAGGACGGGGAAATGATAGTCGTCGTACTGGGGGTCCTTCATGCCGGGAGCGTCCGTGGTAGGGGCGGTGGCTATCCTAGCTTTCAAGGGCTGAGCGGCGCAGCGGCGGTCAGAGTGTAGTTTCGATGCAAACAGCAAGAAAGAGAGCGAGGGCAGCTCTGGGAGGTTAATATAATAATAGTGCCCGACTAAGAGTGCCTGCATGAACAGGATAGGAGGACGTGGTATACCTTGACCAGTTATCCTGGGCGTGAAGACGAGGAGATCATCGACGGGAAATTCGTAACCCTTGCAAAGAAAGTAGTCCCTCAGCATAAACCAACCCTCAAGCAAGAGAAACGAGAGAGGAGGTTCTTGACCGAGGTAATAAATATTACCTAATATTCGTGATACGCTCAATAGGTATATCCCCGCCAGTAGTACTGGTATTGGTGATTAATAAGGTTGGTATTTGATTTACTTGCCGCAAATCTCATGTCGACCTGGTGGGTGTATCCAAAATATAAAATGCTTATAAGAATAAAATTCCCCTTATAACGACTAAAGCTTATTAAATGGATGCTGTCTCTCTCCGGATATAAAAAGCCTGATTTACCCATCAGACCCCTTTACGCACTGAAACTGTTGGTTATTGTACCCCTACTAGCGGGAGTCTCGTTACCAAAGTATGGAAATTACCATGTATTTCCAGGATAGTTTATGGACTTCTACTGATCTTTGTGCTCGTTGTCGTTCCTAATTACTTGCGCGCTCGATACTAGTTAAAAAGAGGACCTATAGCACGATATTTAATGGAACAGGCATAAATTCCTCTTATAACGACTGTAACCCGTTAGATGCTATCACACTGGATCTAGAAAGCCCAATTCACTTACTAGTCAGTTGCCACTAGGGGTGACTGTTTTTTCGACTATCGACCGAAGCCCGCACCTCTATCAGAGAGTTCCGAGCAGGCAGCGTCCGCCATGGCGTACGTGTTCCCAATTGAGCGTCCTAGCCAGAAGATTCTCATCGGAAGCGCAGTGGTTTTCTCATTGATACCGGTGATTGCCGTTATTCTGCGCATGGTTGCGCGGTCGAGAATCAAGAATCACACTCTTGATCTGAGCGATTGGCTTATCATCTTAGCATGTGTAAGTTTCCTATTCGCTCGAGTATACCTGCGTCTCTATAGGAAGTCTCTAATGAAATGCAATCCTTCAGATCGTCGCAGTGGCATATCAAGCACTTGCAGTCACCTGCGCTGTGGTTGGGGGGATGGGATACCACACGACTGAGGTCTTGGCGATGGGAGGAGAGGATGCGGTAACCCTTCTTCTGAAGCTTGTAACCGCCATCATCATCTTCTGGGCCGTCAGTCTTGGGTTGACGAAACTCTCTATCCTTGCGCTATACACCAAGATTTTCTGCGTCCGGAGTTTCGTCCTTGCCGCTCAAGCCTGTGCTGTATTCGTCATGCTCTGTGCCATGGTCTTGTTGATTGGTGCCTTCACCATCTGTACGCCGGTTTCGTACAACTGGGACAGATTCTCGACTCCGGGAAGCTGTGGCAACATCAGGATGTTATGGTCCGTAACCGGAGGGCTCAATATCTTCAGTGACTTAGTCATTATATTCCTCCCCATGCCACATATTTGGAGCCTATCGCTACAGCTGTACAAAAAGATTGGATTAATAGTGACCTTTGGGATCGGGCTTGCGTAAGTGGCCGACTCCTGATTTCCGTCTTCTGACTGCGCCAGCTAACGTATGGAGATACAGAGTCTGCATTGTGAGTGCCGTCCGACTCGCCGAGATTACCAAAATCAACATGGACGACTTCCCATTTTCCGGCGGTATCGCACTCGCGTTTAGTGCACTGGAACCCTGTCTGCTGGTAACTGCAGCATGTATCCCGCTTCTCCGCCCATTGGTATCTCGAAAAAACTCATCAGCCGCGCCCAGTAGCTTCGCCGACGGCACTATTACTATTGGTGGTACCGGAGCTCACCCGGCTCCTCGAAAGGGTGGCTTCTCAGAACTCCAAGACGACGACAACTCAACGAGACAACTACACATGGAACAATCGAAATTTGGTGGAGGGTCAAGTGCTGAGGCAGATGGTAGTTCCTTCGGTTCCTCCCACGGCACAGATAACCACTATACCAACTTAGAGTTGAAAGCTATCACGGTTAAGAGGGAGTGGAAGGTTATTGAAGAATCCGTTTAAATAGTTCGGAGTATTGTTTTACTAGCCTGAATTATATCCTGAGTTTACAAAGGAATACTATATTAAAAATTGTACCTTGTATTTTTTTTTTAAAAAAAAAAACCTTATCGAGACTAGCTTATTTAGGTAATTCTAATAGCCTCGGTCGAGAATTATGTATTCAAAGTGAAGGCTATTTTGGCCGTTGATTGGGTATGGTTAACTTTTTTAATTAATAAAATTCAATTATCCCTTGCTTTTTAACCTATTTCAAGGTAGTTCAGCTCTCGGAGCTTTTCAATTGGCTCAAAAAGCGCTTCGGTCACTTAAAAGGTCGCTAAATTCATCTACCGCCCTTCTAGCTTCAACTTTCAAAGCTATTCGTTGGATGCCTCCACTAGCCTAGCGGGTCCCGCTCAGGACTGATTAAGTAATCTCTCTAAGTGCTTTGCCAGGTCTTGTACATCCCTAGGTTCGAACCCTCGACTTTGTAATTGCTTCAAATTTTTCAGTCGTTTTTCTCTTCCTCTAGACGCATTACTCCGCGACTGGCAGCTTCAATAAAAATAAAGATTTTCTAATTATATATAAACAAAAAAAAGAATCTCTTCTCATATAATTACCCCCGTCAAACCCGGATAATGACCCCCCCTAAAACTCGGGCAAGCTTAAGAACCTCTCCCCATACAATTACCCTCGTTTAACTCGGATATTATCTAGAAACGCTTCGGCTGCTCGGTTATACCAATGGCTAAATTCATGGATATGTTATTTAGTAAACATCTCACCGTGTCCCAGCACGAGGGACGCGGGCATCGAACCTGTTGTTATACAGACTTTCTCAGGACTTAAGGTGTTGATCATCAGATAATTCGGATAATCTAAAAGATGGTCGCTCTCGTTACCTTAGGAGCGCTCTTCGCCAGTGTAGGGCAGACCTACGCGCAAACAGGGGTAACGGTGAAGGTTGCCTCTCTACTGCAACAGATAGACGGCTTTGGCGTTTCTCAAGCATTTGGCCGCGCCGCTGAATTTAGGGACTTGCTCTCAGGGGATCCTCAGCAGCAGGGCCTTGACTACTTATTCAACACCACCATAGGCGCCGGATTTACGATCATTCGCAACCGTATTGGTTCGGGTACAACTGATGATGACAGTATCCTTCCAAAGAGTCCGGGCGGCCCTAGCGCGGCTGCAAATTATAGCTTCAATGACGATGACCGTGGCCAGGTCTGGTTTAGCCAGCAGGCAATGAAGTACGGCGTGAAGACTATCTATGCAGACGCATGGAGTGCGCCTGGGTTCATGAAAACGAACAATAATGAGAACAACGGCGGTTATCTATGTGGAACTCCTGGTCACACCTGTTCTTCAGGGGACTGGCGTCAGGCCTACGCCGACTTCCTGGTTCAGTACGTAAAGTACTACAATGCTCGCGGCATCCCTGTTACTCAACTCGGTTTCTTGAATGAGCCCGACTACGTGTAGGCATTTATGTCAACCTCATATTGATATCAAGCCTAACCTAGTATCTACAGTACAAGTTATTCATCGATGCAGTCTGGTGCTAACGAAGCCTCGTCGTTCATCCCTATCCTATACGAGACCCTTGAAAAGAACGGTCTTAACAATGTGTCCCTGGCTTGTTGTGATGCAAGTGAGTGAACATGCATCATGTCTTTTTTTCAAGCTTTTCCTTATCCTTGCCAAAATCTCTAGCTACGGCTCGGCGTGCTTGGTGGATCAAACATGCTAACGCTCTGCTTCGAAGTGGGCTGGAATTCGCAGAAAAGTATCACCCAAGGGCTCGTCTCGGCGGGTATGGAGAAATACTTAAAATACATAACCAGCCATATGTATTCGAGTGACCCGAACTCGGTCATATCTACAAACCTTAAGACCTGGCAGACTGAAGCAGCTGATCTGCAGTCACGGTGGTGCGCGACTTGGTACAGCGGCGGGGGCCAATGCGAGGGTTTCACATGGGCCAGCAAAATTCACAACGGCCTCGCAAACGCTAACCTGAGTGCATACATATAGTAAGTCGTTCTCCTACGAGATGGTCGGATTGACCAGAGCTGACCTTGAATTAAATCTAGCTGGCAAGGTGTAGAAGTGAACCAATTTCAAGCTTCTTCATATCTTGTCGCGAGCGATGGTAAGACGCTCACTCCTTCCGGACGTCTTTGGGCCTTTGCAATGTGGTCACGGTTTGTACGCCCCGGGGCCTACCGTGTGAGCACGTCGGGTACTGTATCTAGTACCGGGATCACTGCGTTCAAGAATACGGATGGTTCCGTTGTTGTCGTTTTCCTAAATTCCGGGGGGTCACAGCAGACTGTCAAGGTTTCATTTAGCGACTTTACACCCGCAGCTGCCGAGGCTTTCGTGACAGATAACACTCGGTCTGTGGCTTCTATAGAGGCAACTGTCTCTGGTGGCACGGTCACAGCTTCTGTCCCGTCACGCGGAATGCTCACCATCAAGCTAGCTGCTGCTGCTGCTGCTGTAGTCTAGCCGCTAAGGGGTTCGGAACTAGCACCCTTTTCATATGTGACTGCAGTGACCACAGGGAGGACCTAACATTTTGTACGAAGAGTATTGAAATGAATCGTACGGAAGCTTATTTACAAAAACTGTATATGTCTCTCGCGTCCTTAGCAATCTAGGTAAGGTACAAAAAAGGGAATCAGAGGAGTGTAAGCTATGTGAGGTACTCGGTATCAAATATTCAGGGAGATATCTTGTTCAACCACGACTCCGACGATTAGAAAACTTGAGAAAACCTACCGGGTCTTACTTGTCCCGATTTAAGACATATACCCCAGGCTACCTACAAAAGATGAAGAAAATTCCCTCAGGCCACCTGTATCTTGTTTAGGCATCGTACATTAGCCCAACGCCACCAGCGGTCAGCAACGCCCGGATATGCGGCTTCGGTGAAGACTTAGCTTCCTAGCACATCTTCGTAAATTGGAAGCTTAGTAGATTTACCCGAAAGATACCGAACGAGGATTGGACCTTTGATGGGATAATATTAATATTCGCCCAGCTAGAGCGAGATACCCGGCATGAAACACATGATCCATTGCTCGCCTGCATTAGCATGCCTTTAAAACCAGGCAAACCAGGGCGACGTTATCCAAGCCACCGTGCAACCTGTATATACCAAAAGCAATCAGAGCCATAGCTCGCTAGGGCGACAGTGTTTTGCCTCATTCTATGCTCATTGGACGATGCTTCCACCTCTCTAAGTGAAATAAATAGCCATCATGGTTTTGGTTTTTTTTTTTTTTTTAAAAAAAAGGGGGGGGGGGGGGGGGGGGGGGTATTATAAAATATTGTTAGCATTTATTGACAAAATTTAGATAAATGGGGGCAATAATT